ATGAATCCCACTTGATCAGGATGTATGATCTTCTTGATGATCTTCTGCATTCTGTTTGCCATTATCTTATTAAGGATTTTTGCATCTATGTTCATAAGAACTGCCATTTTAAATGCCTTTTCTGCCCAGTCTAGTACATTGAATAAGCATTTTATAGTCCAAATCCTGAAAATTTGAGAATTAGTGGTATACTTTGTTGGTCAGTATGTTTTTGTTGTTGTGTTGGTGGTAGTTGAGTTTCTTGTGAGAAAATTCACATCTTTTTATAGCAGAATCGGTCATTTTGAAAGTACTTTTTAAAATAGGTTAAAGAAAAAGAAGACAATTCTATTTTATATCCTTTGGGCTTAAAGCCTGTTGTAAGGGAACATCATCTCTGGCCCCAGCTTCTGAGTTAGTCCAGTCATCATAAGTCAGTGGACATTGGTGGGAGAGTGGTGCCTGGGCACAGACTCTTCATCTCAGGAGCAGTATACTCTTCTCATTACTGTTTCTTTTAATGAGGGCAGACAGGTTACAATCTGAGGTTAAAAGTTAAATCATTTAGGCTAGAATGCATGTGAAGTTCTTTTGGCTTACCATTCTAATGCCTTTGTCTATAATATTATTGAGTAAATTCTGAATTTGATGTTTTCAACCAAAAATTGAAATTAAAATTTAAAATTAAATGTAAATTAGATATTTCGTTTTACTTGTTTTTAGGCATCCATCAATTATTTTTATTGATGAGCTGGATGCTCTTTGCCCTAAAAGAGAAGGAGCTCAGAATGAAGTGGAAAAAAGAGTTGTAGCTTCCCTCTTAACACTGATGGATGGCTTTGGCTCAGTAAGTATAGCACTAGTATTGCTTCTGTGAGGGAAAGGGTTGCTTCTTAGAAATACACATGTAGCAGCAAAGACTACTGAATGTATCTGAATCTTGAGATATTCTAGGATAAGAGGAAAATACCACATTGGAACTAGGTAAGACTCATATAATTTGTTTCAATAGACTGCTTACTAATTGCTAGGACAACATAACTGACTTTTTTAGCATAAGAAAATAATTTACCACAATGGATTTCTTTTGTGATAAGTAATATTAACCTAAAGACTTGAGGCAGAAATCAATAAGGAAGAGTCTGTTAAATTTTAGAGGTTTTATTAAGAAACTTCATATGTAAGTATTATTATTCATGTAAAAACGATCCAGAGCTTTGTGCTAGGCAATTGAAAGAAAAGAATAAGGGAAAATGTGTTTGTACAACATTTAAAAGGCCTTTACTGTTATTACCAGAGTCTCTGATAGGGCACATTGTCTTTCTTTTTAAAAATTAATGAATTAACTAATTATATTTATTTAGGTTCTTTTGAGACAGGGTCTTGCCACGTAGTCCAAACTGGCCTCAAACTCACTTTATAGCCCAGGCTGGCCTCAAACTCATGGCAATCCTGCCTCAGCCTCCCCTGAGTACTGGAATTACAGATGTGCACCACCATACCTGGCTCATATAGTCTTATATTAGCAAAAAGTATATGTTAATTGTGAAAGGAAGAACTAATATAAAACAGCAATGAAGACATCCTTCAGACTTCTGACATCTGTTACCCAGAAAACAAAACAAATGGTGTACTTCTTAGGCCAGATTATAAGTAACTAAGTTTCTTAGTATCATAATGTGTTAGAAATTAGTCTAATACTTTATCACATTAAAAAACTGGATAATTAACAGTTTTAGGTTTTTATTGCCTGTTGGTAGAAACTGAACATGTGAAAAGATAAATGTTTGGTATTTAGCCTATCAGGTGTAACTATTAAGCAAACCATATTATTGTTTATGGATGTTACAATTTTAATGTGAAGGCAAATAAAAAAAGCTGAATTATAGTAGAAGGTGAGGAAACAAATCAGTTGGAAGGCTCAGTGTTGTAGAATCTTAGTCATCAGGTCTATTTGGTGTCTTTTTTCTCTGCTAAGGAGTGGTCATCTTGCTTTTGGGCAAGAGTGGAAGCACATGATACTGATGTTTAAATCTGAAAATAGAGGCCTGTGTGTGTACTTTTAAATGCATAATTTATAAATTTAGTCCATACATTTTCTGTTGGCATATTAAATATAATTGATTATGTGTGAGTTTTCTTATGTAAATCACGTTCTAGTTATATTTGTCTGTGTGAAATTACTTTGGGTCATTGGAATAAAATATTGGGTAATATCTACAGGTAGATGACCATGATCATAGTTCTTTATATGTTCTTAATTTCACATTCAGAGAAAAAATTTTATGTATTCAAGGGTGGCTGATGCTTGGATATTGGTTGTATTGTCTTTGTTTTCAGGAAATTAAAAAGTTATCAGATTTATAAAAGGAAACAGTTAATAGATGAGGAAAGCTTCCTAAACAAATTCCTAAAGGAGTCTTGTTCTATTTGAATAATACAAAGGTTATAATCTTTGCTTCCAAATAAGGTAAAGGGACCACTTTAAACAGTGAAACAATGGGCTAGGGGCCTAGCATATTCAAGGCTTGGGGTCATTCCACAGTACTGAAAAGGAAAAAGAAGGAATATGAAAAAAGAAAAAGAAAAAACAAAACAACTATAGAATTTTATGTTATTTATGGTAATAGTATAGTTAAGATTCTAGAAGTGAGAAACATCAATAGATGGAGAAGTATTAGACATCTTTCTACTAGAGAGCATTTGGGCTAAGCTTTGAAAATTGTGTAATAGAAATATTACATATATAACAATAAATTAATAAATATGTAATACAAACACAAGGGTTAGGACCTAGTAGCCTGCCTCCCTTTCTTTTTTTTAAATTTTGTGTGTTATGGATTGAAAGCTAGGGTTTTGTGCTGAGCTATCTCTCCAGTCCATTTTTTATTTATTTATTTTTAGACAGGGGTCTTGCTTACTTGCTAAATTTTTCCCAAACATAACTCGAACTTGCAATCCTCCTTTCTCAGCCTCCTGGAGTGCTAGGATTACAGGTGTATGCCACCACCTATTTGTAACTTTTAGGAAAGTATGTGTTTTATTTTCATTTTATTTTGTTAGGAAGCAAGTGAAGGACGGGTGTTAGTCCTTGGGGCCACAAATCGCCCACAAGCATTAGATGCTGCTCTCCGAAGACCTGGACGATTTGATAAAGAGATTGAGATTGGAGTTCCCAATGCTCAGGACCGGCTAGATATTCTCCAGAAACTTCTTCAAAGAGTACCCCATTCGCTCACTAAAACTGAACTGCTACAGCTGGCAAATAGTGCTCATGGATATGTTGGAGCAGACTTGAAAGCTTTGTGTAATGAAGCAGGTAAGTGAGTGGCTATGATGAGTCTATACTGATGGAGGAAGACTGGTTTATTTAGATGCCGATAATTTCTGTTTCACTCATTTCTTAATGGAATAGCTTTTTCTAAGCATAAACTTATATATTATTGAAAGAAACTTAGATGATTCAGAAAATTATAAAAAAGAAATAATCACTTTTATTTCTGTCTTCTAAAGATAACCAGTATTATATTTTTCTAGATTTTTTTTCCTGAGAGTGTATATATGCACACGTGTGTACATACATGTAAACCAGTTGCACAGGGGGCAGTATTAATGATAACAATATTTACTGATAGTATGCTGTGAGGGAGAAATGTTTGCAGGAAGATCACAAATTTCATTTAGGAGCAAACTAGCATTTATTGAATTTTTAAAAAAGTACTGAGTGAAAGCCAAGAATTCTATGCTGCAGAATATGTGAAAGTGATGTTTTAACTCTAAAATTGTTTAAGGGCTTTCATTAACCAGTTGCTTACTTGACTTAAGAATTTCACCATAGCATAACTATAATTGCTATGGATGCTCTTAGGACCTTCTAATATTTGCACAATTTTTTAGAGTAATTTCAACTGTGGAAAATAAAACCTGAGCAGTATTTGTAAGCTCGTGAAATATTTGATACAGCAAGTGAGAATTTATTGGAAACATCTACATCTAATAGTCTTTTTCTTTTCTTTTCTTTTTTTTTTTTTTTTCCTGAAAGGGTATTTTTATTTTCTAGTTATCTTTAAAGGTGGAGCACATATCTCAATATATCTTTGCTTTGCCAGTAGTCAGGTTCCTTAAGTTTATTCTTTCCTCTCTGTATGGACATACATTTCTAAGAGCTGTTGTAATTTGGAGATTTTTTTTCCCCATTTGTGGCATTCTATTCCAGTTTTTGACCCATCTTAACTTTTTTTTTTTGGTACAAGGGATCGAACTCGGGACCTTGTGCTTGCAAGGCAGGCTCCAGAACCACTGAGCTAAATCCCCGGCCCCTATCTTACATTTTTATAAGGTGCTTTAAAGAAAATTTAACCCTTATAATAATGAAGAAATTGAAATACTGAATTGGAAATTTGGTTTAGAGAGCTTCAATTCATAAATACAGTAACTTTTATCTCCAAACTATTGATTCATAGTTACCTAATTTAAGAGGCTTTCCATTAGTCCTTTTTCCTTTAGCCTTTTAGTTCTTTCATCGTTTTTATCTTGTCCAGTATGTGTATGGAAAGTGGTTAGAAGAGGAAAAACAGGTAGGAAAAGAAAACATGGAAGAAATATTTAGGAATTTTTAATATATTACTTTTAGTGGAAAAAAAATCACTTGTACTGCATTCTCTTTGATCATTACCACATTTCCAGGTTAGAGGACTAATAGTTGGGGAGAGACTCTAGATTGTACAGACTACCTAGGCAAAAATAAACCTTTTAAAATACATTATAGTCTAGGACTAAGTTCTTTTCTCCCTAGTTTCTGCACAGCTTCTGGCTTCATGGGGAGTGGTGGGCTTCAGAAATTCATAGAAATGAATTTCCTGGGGTCCAGGAAGCAGATCTGTCAGTGGGTTACTTTGCTTCCTTCATTCTTTTAGGTGATAAAGTCTGGATTACTGTATAAGCATTGGTTTGGGTTTACACATGGCATCTAGGCAAAGATTTAATCTTAAACATCCTTTATTAAACCTTTTTTTTTTTAACTTTTTGATGTACTATAGGAGGCTCTGTGATTCTTGCTCTGCAGAAATAGTCTGATGAAAGGAACTACTATACTAATAGTACAGTACAAAATAGTTAACAAAGTACAGTATAGTACAAAGTAGTAAAGTAACAAAATAGTTGGAAAAATGTAATGACTTTGCCTACATTAGAAAAAAGAAATGGAGAAGATACCAAGCAATACTGAAGGTACTCAAAAAAAACCTGTTCTGGCCTCATTAGTTACTTTCGTACATTTCATACTTTCTGCCCTTCCTCTTCTTCCCTTCTGCCTATTTGAATGACTTAGGTGATTAGTCAGGACTTTCTCCCAAAGTGTTCTTAGAAAGTGTGTTATAAGGGAGACTAATGTTGATTGTGAAGTACACTGTATTTTAATTGAAACCTTTTCATAATTTTTGACTAGACTTGAATTTGAGCGAATTATAAATTTGACTAAAACTGTGACATGGAAAACTAAAGCAGCTTTGAAGCTGTAAACATTTAAAATACAGTTGTGCTCCAAGTACTGTAGAATAAGCATAAGTGTATTCTACTTACTGAATATACAGTGGCATCCCCATTCCCTATGATGTATGTACACTGAACATAGGAAGAAAAATATCATTTATGTGGTACATTGAACTATTCTAGTTTTCAATTAAAAAATTGAACATTTAATGCTGTATCCCATCTACAGTTATTTAGGGGTACTTAGAATGCCTCACAGTCTGTGTGTGTGTGTGTGTGTGTGTGTGTTTTCCTGGGGATTGATCCCAGGGCCTTTGCACTGAGCTACATCCCCAGTTCTTTAAAATTTTTTATTTAGAGACAGGGTCTTCCTAAGTCATGAAGTTGCTCAGGCTGGACTTGAACTGAATTGAACAAGAGTGATCTGAGAAATAAGTGTGAAATCTAAGAGGATATTACTAACTCACCCCTTATTTGAGATGAAAAGGGCTTATTAGCCTCTGAATTGAGTTGGTTTAGGTTTAAACAAGGTGAGATTCATCTTTTTTTTTAAATTTTCCCCTTTGTTGCCTTGTGAAATCTCTGCTTGTTGTTGAGGAAATAAAATTGAGCCATTATTGCTACTTTTACAGATAACAGTGAATGTTACACATGCTGTATGCTGTATCATCCTAGAAATGTAGGACAGCAAGGCTGCCTGAAATAATTCCTATTTTCTTGAACATTTCTGGTCCATTTCTGCCTTCCCAGTGATAGATTTCTCAGCTTTGGTTCTGCTTGTGGACTTTAACTTTGTTTTTTAAAAAATAAGTGCTATTCAGGAGGCATTTTCATTGCTTGTGTGTTGTGCTTACTAGAGTGCTTGTGAATGCCCACTGGAATGTCTAGATAGTTAAGGGACCTAGATCATGTTTCTGAGTTGGACAGTAATCGAATCCATCTCCAGGAGACATACTTCTGATTATGTAAGTTAAATATCTTTGTTTCTTATTCTTACCCACAGGGAGGACTTACTTCACATGTTCTTAGTTCAAGACTGATAACTTAGAATAGGGATTCTCAGACTTTATCATGTATCACAATAAGCTGTAGAACTTGCTTAGCTGGACAGCTGGGCTCTATCCCCAGGAGGTCTGAGCCGAGCCTGAGATTCTTCTTTTTTTTTAGTACTGGAGATTGAACTCTAGTCCTTGTGCTTGCGAGGCAGGCGGCGGAACCACTGAGCTAAATCCCCGGCCCTAGCCTGAGATTCTTCGCAGGTTCCTGGTGGTGTTCCTGAGACTGGTCTGGGGACCCAGGATGAGGGCCCTGACATCAGCATCATGCTTACCCGGGAAGCTACACAACGTATACATGGACACACATACACACACTCACACAGACATCTTACACATCCCCACCCCATATTTAATGTAGTAAGGGAGATGGGAACTGGGATCAGGATTTATGTTTCCCAGGTAATTTTGAAGTAGCCAATCTTTCACTTGCCTATGAGGAGGTATTTCAGTCACTGATTTATGTGAATGGTTCTCTAACTTAAACATATGTAAGAATGACTTGTAGAGCTTATTGAAATAGAGGTCTGGTTTCTGTCCCACTAATTTTGTAGGTCCAGGAGGGCCCCAAAATTTGCATTTCTAATAAGCTTGCTGGTGATGTCACTACTGCTGATCCAGGGACTACACTTTGAGAATGACTCATCTAGATCAGTCAACTACTTTTTGGGGGGTTATTAACTCCAGGGTATTTATACTGAGCTCATCCTCAATTTTGAGGCTAAGTCACTAAGTTGCCCAGGCTGGGCTCAAACTTGCAGTTCTGCCTCAGTCTCCCAGAGCCCTGGGATGACAGGTGTGTGCCACCATGCCTGACTTAACTACTCAGTTTTCGGAGATTCTCTAAAACTGATTTTAAAAACTGGATTAAATGTAAATAATGTAATTCTCTGACTACTTCTAATAACCTTGAATTTATTCTCAGAGTTTTTATGTGATAATAATGTACTATTTCAAACTATCATATAACTCGCCTATTCAAGGGGAAAATGAATTTCCAGGGATGTTTTCCAGGTATGTAATGATCTGAATAAAACTTGAAAACAGGAAATAATTCTGAAAGAAAAGCCACAAGTAAGGGAACAGTTAAGAATACAAATAAAAATACAAATGTGTTTTTCTTCGAACATTTTGTTGCTTATGACTGTCAATCTGTGTTTTTTGTGTGTTGTCTCTCTGGTGGTTTTCCTTCTTCCTGAACTGACATCAGGTAGAGGACACTCCACCCTTAAAAAAGTTGTGTACAGACACCACATGAGTTAAAATAATTCAGAATTTCATAAAATACAGAGTAGTTTCCCTAATTGTTTATGTAATTAAATGGATATTGCTAATGGGATACTAATAGAAAATTCCTTCAGTGTGTATGTAGATTTCACATGCTTTTTCAGTCTGTTCTATAATTGCTGCAGTAATGTTGCATTTTCTGCAGTGTGCTCAACTTTTCCGATCTTACTCAAGTATTTTTACATATTTTGTATATTTTCAAAACTTTGTTCCTATAATGAATATGACAGTTGGAAAAAACTTCAATAATGTTGCTTTCAGTGATTGAAATTATTATTTATGAACAGATAAAGGTTTAATGTTGATGGTAGGTGTGGAACTTATTTTCAGATGCTATGTTTTCTTTATAATTAACTTTTGAGTGAGAGTGTGGCTTGATATTTCATGACTTGTTCCAAAACCTTATGTTTTGCAGCTCACCTTTTTAAGCAAAGAGCGGCTGTATTTGGAAATGTTTTATCTCAAGTGGACAAGCTGTTTACAAGCT